TGTCAGGGATAAAAAAGGAATATCGTCCCCTGATGAAATTGTGAGAATGATAATAAGGCTCCGAATAAAAATACAGTATATTAAATATGATAACGAATGTTAAAGAATCAGAGAGGCCAGAAGAAACTTAGCCTAGGTCTGTTTGGAGAGTCTCAGAGGGGCAGTCTAATGTAAAAGATGCTTAGGTGTTAATTAGCTAGGTGGACAAAGTGAGGAGTTGGGAGGGTGTGGAGTGGGAGGAGAACCAGACAGCTCGGATGGAAGGCTTGGGGTCAGAACACGTGCAGACATGGGAGAAGCAAGGTGTGCTTGAGGGAAGGCAAATAGTTCGCTAGGAGTGGGAAGGCGTGCAGGGAGAATGGTCATAGCAGGGGGCACTCACTGGTCAGGTGGAAGGGACAAATTGGACCTTGTTAAGAAGTTAGGACTCCATCCACAGCAGTGGTGAGCCCTGATGTACTTTAATCAGGGGAATTGTAAGGTCGGATTATGGCTTAGAGTTTGGCAACAGAGTGGAGGAAGAATGAGGGACCCAAAGAGATGGCTAAGATTGTAGGGAATGTGCGTCTGATTTATCTTTGCCTCGATGTGCTTGGCACAGTGCCAGGCACACAGTTTCTATACAAATTGTATGATTCAAGAACTGAGAGAAAGCGAGGTGGCCACCTTTAGACTTGAGCACAGGTAGAAAGGCGTGCCAGCCTTAAACGTCATACTTCACCTGAGTTACTCAGATCACAGAGGTAGAGGGCATTCTCCAGCTTCCTGAACCTGTCCATCCACATCTCGCTCTCTTCAGACTTATTTCTCATGGCCGGACTCATAAAAGGCTGGGAGACTGGCCTGATTTGCAAAGAGCTCAGAGGATCTTTGGGGGCTGAAGTTTCAGCAGCGGGGGTTTCTGCCTGCAGCTCCTCTTCCGGAGTTTTCTACCAAAACAACACAAACATTTCACTGGCAACACATTCACCACCCAGAGCTTCTCCAGTCTCTTGGCCAAAGATGAGGCCACACAACTAACAAGATTTATTGCAAGGCAAAACTTTGGAAAACTAGAACGAGTTTCAAATCCCCAGTGCCATGGGACCATATCTGCCAATACTTTCTGGATACAAACATGTTAAGTTTCTGTTGCTGTGCAGAGAAGAGTGACATTCTGACTTTTATTCAGTTCTCATTTCTGAGTTGCACCAAGTGAAAGACTTTGGAACTAACCGTGACTTTGCATGTGTACCCACTCTATTTTGTACTGGTGTGCTCTGCAGGGGATGGGCTTCCTAGGATGCTTGTAACTTCTTGGTAGGAAAACCTCTAGGTTTTGAGTGTGAGATTTCTGGCCAAAGAGTGATTGAAACAATAGTAGTATTATGTTAGTCTTGTGGGCCCATTTTAAAGACTGTTAAAGTGCTTCTAGTCTGCCTGATCCTGTTCATTTAACAAAGGAAACCAAGACTCTCCCCCCTCCACCCCGCCAGGTCTCAAATGTGAATGATTCCCTAACATCTCAAAGATCTTATGGTAGATCCAAGACTAGACGTAGGACCTAAAGCTCATCTTGGTCTGTTAACCTCATGCCCAGTGAAAAGCAGAGTTATTTTTAGAATGAAGTAGACAAATGAATCTCAGCAGCGCCCCGTAAAGCATCTTGTACCACATAGAGAGAGTGGACGCATGCTGGTGGAGCTGCCCAGCCCTGATCTACAGGGATTGGCCATCTTCCCACGGACGTGGTTACAGGGAGAACCACCATGCTCTATTTGCATAGATGAGGACTGGGCAGTGAATGCAAAATGGGCCAATAAACCTGTTTTCCAGGAATTTTGGACAATGAGTTTGTGAGAAAGAAATGGAGATGATTCTGTGTGAGACGTTGGAACTCCAGCAAGCTTTCCACGCTGTGCGCTGGAAATGAAGAAAAGATAGTCTGCTAAGAAAGACAGATAACAGAGAGAGAGAGAGTAAGAGAATGAGGCTGACAACAGAAAGAACAGATACTTAGGAAGTCTTAATAGTGCTAAGTCTCTGGTTTTAATTCATGGTTGTACTTCTGTCCTTAGGAAGCATACTATGCTTCTCCATCCTCCCATAAATTAAGCTAGGAGAGTTGGTTCTGTTCCTCGTGATCTAAATATCTCTAACTAATTCACCATAAAACGATGCCTCTAACTTTTGTATACCATCTGTGTTCCCCCAACTTTCAAATGTCTGAATTTTTCCAATTCTGTACCTTTGTCTCAAACTCCTCACATAGAAGCTGTGAAAATTCCAGAGCCCTAAAGAATGGTAAGTACAGGAAGAAGCCAAGTTCTGAGTGGGTGAACAAACGGAGTAAGCGGCTTCGGGGGAATTTAAAGACTTCTTTTGTTTTCTTCTGTCTGAAATAACAGAACGTTATATGAAACTGTAGCCACATGGATGACAAGTAACCGGTGAGTTTTCAGGGATTCGTATCAAAAAGAATTCTACTGTGATAAATTCAATTTGGGGAAAGGCAGAAAGTTTCCAGATAGTAAATTAGACTAGTGATTCTTCTACATATTTTTTAGAGACTTGGACCACTTTAAGAAGTCTGATGGAAGCTTTAGAAAATCTGCCCACGCCAATGCACATTTGCATGTATTTTGGTGGATAATTTTAGAGAGATCGAAGTTGCTCTTAAATTTGAGAAATTAATTTGAAATAATTTTATACCACATCTTCAGATAGTTAGTTCAAACACTCTCTTCGACCACTGAAGAAAGGGGGAGATTGACATGGACCTGACTGAGGCTCAGGTCAGTAACTAACAAAGTTTAAACTACACTGTTTTGGTCCTAGTGTGTCAGGACGAAGTTCAAATTTCTGGCTTGGCACACAAAAACGTTTATATACTTGTCCTTGCTTGTCTTTCCAGGTTATATTCTTTTAATCCTACAGATTTTTCTCTGTCCACATAAAACCTGAAAAAATAAAGCAGCTTTATGCCTTTCTGCTTTTGTAATGCTGTCGTCACCCAGGTTATGAAAGCCCTCTTGGGATCTCTGCCTTGGTTGTGTAGGTTTCCACTCACTTCAAGATGCAGCTCAGAGCCTTCCCTGCCAGCCCCAGACTGGATGAGAAGTGGTTCTTTGTAACCTCTACCCATCCCAGCATTTATCGGTGGATATCAGATTTAAGTGAGGCTCTCTCCTCGGAGGCTGCCCTGTGAGATGGTTATTTCTGTATACTTGGTTAGTGCTGGCACACAGTAGGTGCTCAAGACATGCTTAGTGAATGAATAAGTGAATGAACGAATAAATGATTTTCTCTGAGACAAGAGGAAAATGGCTTTCTCGACTTCTCTTCTTCAGTTTCTAAAAAGTGGGACAATGAATCTGTTTATACAGGAATGTGAGAAGAATCACTTATCTCGAGAGGCAATAAAATCCTTAAACAAGAGGCAAAATAAAAGAGCAAAGTATATTTTTTATAATCTTATTCACAACAGACTTAACACTCAAGGAGAAAAGCATTTGCTGTTGTTTCTTGCATGGCAAGAGGCTTGCCAAAATGGATACTATTTTCTAAAATATTTCAACGTGTGAAGCGCATGAGAAGGCCTCCCGTCATTTTAAGATGAATTATGTTCTAATCCGGGCATTTAAAAAACAACAACAACAGAAAAACTCAGGCTGTTTTTCAATTCTGTCTGTAACTTCTCCTGGCTAAATGCTGGGAATATTAAAATGGATTTTAACCGCTTGCCAGATTTTACTTTTTTTCTTTTTCTTTTTCTTCTTCTTTTTTTTTAAATCAGAATGCCTATTACATTTTAAAATGTGATGTCTGGGGAAAAGGTCATTCTCAGTTTCTGGAAGCTGGAATTGAGATGTTAAAATAGGCCTCATAACCACCCTTTATTTTGATGGCAGTTGGTGGATAGGTCACAAGCTTTGGAAGGACATCCATGCACATGCTACAAGTCCAATTTCTTGGGGCAGTTGGCAAGCCCAGCACCAAGTGATGGCAAGAGGTTTCCGCAAACCAGGTAGCACAAGAAGCAAGCCACACTCTAGGAGCTCTTTGGCCTCCCTTCTCTGCCTGAGGGGAGTCTGAGGTTGAAGACAGTCTGACATCAAGGGGTTGGAAATCAAAAGCCCCCAGGGGAGGGCGCCACCCAGCATCACAGAAAAGAAGGCCAAGGATCTGTGAAAACCTCCCCCAAACTCCACAGACCTCAGGTGCGTACCATATGTTCAGTTTTGCTTTGAGATGTCTCAGGGTCTTTAGGCTGCACTGGAGTGGCAGGGGCGTCTTTTTCATTCTTCCCTGAACAAAGAAGAAAAAATGGAAGGGCTGAGTTTGTTTATTTTCACTTAACAGGCACACGTACACCAGGCAGAGAATACGCTGAGGCTTTGCTGGCACTGTGCTCGGTCATGGGTATACCCTGATGAATAAGGAAACCCTGGTTCCCACCCTGGGGAGGGAGATGATAAATAGTTACTCGAAATTACTGTTTAATTATAAGCTACCATAAACGCTACCAAGAAAAGTATGGGTAGATAGGAAATTATTTTTAACTTATTTTGTAGCAGAGGATAGGAGTGGTGGGTTTGAGGGACAACTTCTTGGAAGAAGTGACATAAATGGGCACCCGAAGAATGAACAGGATTTCTTCAGGCAAAGATGATGTTACTGATGTCGATGGAACAGAGAACTGCAGGTGAGCAGAGACAACAGTCTGGAGGAAGGCCCTGAATCAGAAGGGCCTTTATAACTAAGCAAGCAGGAAGGGGGCTCTTCCTATGGCTCTGCCTCTTGAGAACATCTGCCCCCTCTCCACGCAGGTGTGCTCCTGAGTAATCAGGCCACACATTCTCTTCCTCCTTCTCTGCTCCTTTCCTGTGTGGGAACAGGTTTGAACAGCAGCGTCCCAGCCCAGGGCATTCTACTGCCCAGGCCCACTTGGTGTAGGCTTTGCCATCACGAACAGAAGAAATTTCCTGAAGATTCAGGGAAAAGGCATGGAGACCCACCGAAGCCCTCTGAGTGCTACCATCCTCAGCACTTTCCATCTGAATTGGTGACTTCTTTATGTAGTTTGCAAGTCCATGTGTTGGCCACATGGCACAGACTTCTGGGAGCCTCATCTTTGATATATTTGGTGCATACATCAAATATACCATTAACAAATACATATTATGGCTCGGCACCTGTAGCTTAAGCAGCTAAGGTGCCAGCCACATACACCAGAGCTGACGGGTTCGAATCCAGCCCGGGCCTGCTAAACAACAATGACACCAGGGTGACAGCTTGAAGTTCTGTCTCAAAAACAAAAACAAAACAAATACATAATATTTCTAAGTTGGGTCTCACTATTTTTAATAAAAATTATTCAATTAATAAACTTTAAAAAGGTAGAGGGAGGCAGTGTAACAGAGTGGCTGAGAGTATGTAGGCCAGATGCCTTGGATTCAAATCCTGGCTCCTTTATTAGCGACATGACCTTGGGCAAGTTACTTGCTCTTTCCCTGCCTCAATTTCCTCTTCTATAAAATGGGGATAATAAAACCACAGGCCATTATGAGGATTAAATGGATTAGAAGTATAAAGAAAGTAGCTGGATCATAGAAGGTGTTCAATACATGTTAATGTAATAGTGTTATCAAGTAAGGATTTATTTTTATAAATAAAGTCGTATTTCATATTCAAAAGCCTTTTACTGGACAGACTTTTAAATATTGCACCTGCACATTATTATGCATCTTCTTTCTCAGTTTCTTGATGGAGAAGACAATACAATTTCTGCATCTTTCCTGAAGCCCCAGCACCCAGATTTAGGGTGAACACTCAAGGTAAGTTTGTTAAATAAATGAACGACCATGTGCTCTAATTTGGACTTTGTAAAATAAAGTCATTGGACACAGAATTCCATTTCTTCAATTTGTCTTCCAATCCTTGGAGAGGAAAGATTTGTCTCTGCATTTCTTTATCCTCCACCTACTCAAGATGTTATATGGTGTAAACCTTGATAGATGCTTAACGAGGATCATGATGGCAGCCGGGAAGGGCAGCCTCTTTGGGGCAGATCTTATTGGACCAGCCCAGCGTGTATGTTGTCACGAAGACTCATAATCTCCTGGTAGCATTTGGCCCTTACTTATTTCACTATATCAAAGAAAAGCTTTCTGTTTATTGCAGGAGCAAAAAGGCTCAAATTACTCTCAAAAATTAAAGGGATTCTGGAAGCACCATATGAACTAAGGGCAGAAAGATGAACTTTTGGTGTCAGACCTGAAGGCTAATACTGATCCTTTCCTTTACCAGCCACAAGCTTTTGGATCCTGATTCTCTCATTTGTGAAATGACAGAAATTTGAAGTAATATTGTGGAGATTAAAAAATTACCTACATGAAATACTTAACACATGGAAAATGTTCAATATGAGATGTTAATATTTGTTGTGTTATTATTATTATATGACCTTAAGCAAATCTAATTTCCCTAGAAAAGAGGACTTAAAGCTAATTAGAATATGCCAGGCACATCCATTTTTGTCTGGGCACCATTCAATGCATTATTCTTTTAAGAATAAGATCTAGAGGCCAGATGTGGTAGCTCATGCCTGTGATCCTAGCATTCTGCGAGGCCGAAGCAGGTGGATTGCTTGAGCTCAGGAGTTTGAGACAAGCCTGAGCAAGAGTGAAACTCCATCTCTACTAAAAACAGAAAAAAGTAGCTGGGTGTACTGGTGGGCACCTATAGTCCCAGCTACTTGGGAGGCTGAGGCAAGAGGATCAGTTGAGCCCAGGAGTTTGAGGTTGCTGTGAGCTAGGCTGATGCCATGGCACTCTAGCCTGGGCAACAGAGTGAGACTCTGTCTGAAAAGAAAAAAAAAATAAGATCTAGAACCTCGACTTTGTCTCAATCCAGCTACTTCCTACTATCTGAACTCCTCAAAGTTCCGTTAGGAGAGAGTGCGTGCTAGTCTGCTTGGTCTGTGCTAAGCTTCCCTTTCTCCTTCCCAATACCTAATAGCATATAAAAAGGTAATGGTTTGCACATGTGATAATTGTTTGAAAAACCTTAGGCAGAGCTCATTTTTTTTCTTTCTAACACAGCAAGAAGGATGAATAATAACCATCTGTCTATTCTGCCAGTTGAAGATTTGTACTGGAGGAAAGATGCCAATCTGGCTTCTAGAGATTTCCAGGTGTGGAAGGGCCAGGTTTTATAGGGCTTCCAGTGGATTCTGAGCGTTACACAGCCAACCCTCCTGTCAGCCCCCACTAATGACTTGAAATCAGCGGTCATCAGTGCTGGCTGCACATTAGAGCCACCTGGGCCACTTTAAAAATTACTAGGGCTCAGGTGTCCCACTAGACCAATTAAATCAGAATCTCAGCAGGTGAGAACCCAGCTCAGCACTTAAAAAAAATAATTACCTGGGTGATTCTAAAGTGAAACCAGGGCAGAGAACAACTGATCGGAAAAAGAGCTTCTCGCCCCACTGGACCTATTGAACGAAGCTTTTGTGAGAAGGAAACTACCAGATGTCAAATATCTACACATGGCTGATGTTTTCACATAAACTAAAGAATAACCTTGTGACATATATGAGGAAACTGAGGCAATGAAGGTTGTAGTTACCTGTTTAAGACCACAGAGGTAGGATTAGGTCTGTGATTCTAACTCTTCCCTTCATTTAACAGATACTAGCTTACTATATGCCAGGCACTGGCCTAGGCATTTTGATCTATCAATGAGCAAGACAGACTCTTTCTTCTCATGGAGTATGCATTCTAATGGGGAGAGCAAACAGATAGATGCATGAAATAATGTCAGGTATTGATAAGCTATAAACACAGCTAAAACCCCTTACAGATAGGGAATACACCAAAGGTCTCTTTGAAGAAGTGACATTAAAATGGACCCAATTGTGGAGGGGAAACAAAGGAGCAAGTCATGAAAATACAGAGAAATGCAGATTATACCAAAGACAAAGGCAAGAGTGTCCGGTGCCTTTGAGCTGAGAGGAGAGCCTCACTGAGGCAGCATGAAAAGGAATGAGAGTGGTGGAGTGTTCACAGAGCTAGAAGGCCAATGAACCATGCCATGGGGCAGACGTTGATTTTGTTTTTCTGCTTCTTGGGATTCCTTCCTTCTCTTATGACTCTCCCTGTTGTGATCAATCTTTACTTTTTGCTGCTGCTACTTCTTCCTTTCCTGCATTCGTATGCTCCACAGTGAAGAGATTAAAATTTAGGGTCATCTTTCTTTTTTGTGAAGTACTTCTTTAGACTTTCAGACCCCCTCATGCTTAGAGGGGCCTGAGCTCTTTTGTATTTATCTTAGCGGGAGTTCACAGTATTTCTTGGATCTGTGGCTAGACGTCTTTCATCACTTTTTGAAATATTTTAGTCATCCTTGCTGAAAATAATATTCTCTTTCTCCTATTCTGTGATCTTAGTAACACGTATGTTGAATGGTGTCACCTTTTTTCATATGTTTGTTATACACTTTTAATATGTTACATCTTGTAAAAATTATACGTACATAAGAAACAAGTTCCATGAACTTGGATTTTTATGATTCCAAAATCAATAAAGTTTATTATAAAGGCAGCAGATATGAAAGTTGTTTTAATCAGGTTATGATAGCAATAGCATCTTTGAGTAAAACAGGGTCCCAGAAAGGTAAAAATATAAAATTCTACCCTCTTATAGGGAGTAGCAGTAGTTTCCTTTACTTTCTGTATAATGGTCTCTCCTCACTTTCATAACATTTACCTGTGGAGCTAAAGACAGACAAATAAAGTGGCTCATTCAGTACACAAGGGCAATTTTATTATTGTAGATACAGCAGTACAGAAATAGGAAGAGACCAACATAAGACCCTTCTCAGTAAGCTGTTGCACCGCAACAGTGCAAAACAGTGACACTACCACCACAGTTGTTCTGGAGAGTAACATATTGTCTAAAAAAATTAGTGTCACATTGCCTATTTTATTTTTCAGATTCACAATCACCCTATCAGAGCCATAGGACTGTTTTTTTTCCCCTTTTCTTTGCCCATTACAGAAATAAGAGAAATGAGTCAGAAGTAAAGTAAGAGTCTAAATATAACCACCATAAATACCTACTTAATGTCTGTTCAGTGTTTATTTAGTTGCAAAAGGGAGACTTCAATTCCTATTTGTACCTATTTTTTCTGCTATGCCATATGCTATGGGCTGGATTAAGTCCCCCCCCAATTTATATGTTGAATTATGTGTTATAACATAAATGTTTATATGTTATAGTACCTCAAGATGTGACTATATCTGGAGATAAGCCCTTTAAAGAAGTGAGGCTGTTAGGTTCGGCTGTGATCCAATCTAACTGGCGGCTATGTAAGAAGAAGGCTGGGCCTATAGGACAGGTGGATGCACGCACAGAGGAGAGACCATGGGAGGACAGAGCAAGTATCTGTCCAGAACCAGAAAAGAGCTACGGGTACATCTCTCAACACTCTCAGCACCAGCCATGTGTGAAACATCAACAACGAACAGCTCAGTCCATTTCGTAGATGTCTGGGCCCCAAACTGTGTTGTGCTTCAAGAACCAGCTCTGTGGTGTTGCCTCTGAAATCCTTTCTTCAGCTGCTGGCATTTTCTTGGAGGCCCTACTACCAGCTGTGTAGTAGCTCCGGCTCTGACTAGATTCAATGATAGGACCCCCTTCTCTGTGGTTTCTCAGCCTTAAGGATGGTAATGGTAGCTGCTTCCTACAGTTACCAATGGCTAGATTACTTCATTGCAGTGGATCGAATCATGTCCCACCCTCCCCACCTCATCCCCCACCAAAGTTCTAATCACTGGAACTTGTGAATCTGACATCATTTGAAAACAAGGTGTTTTAGATGTAACCAAGTCAAAATGAGGTCATTCTAGATTAGGGTGGGTCCTAAATCCAATGATTGGCATCATTGTAAGAGAAAGGAGACGGATGTTTGAGTACAGAGACACGAAGGAGACATACAAGGGAGAAGGCCCGGTGATGACAGAGGCAGAGATCGGAGTTATACAGTGCCAGGCCCAGGGAGGCCTGGGGCTACTAGAAGCTGAAAAAATTAAGACAGTCCTCTTCTCTAGAAACTTCAGAGAAGTTTGACCCTTTTGACACAATGATTTCACATTTCTAGCCTCCAGAACTGTGAGAGAATAAATTTCTATTGTTTTAAGCTGCAGAGATTGCAGTCATTTTTGACCACAATGGTCAATTATGGCAATCCAGAGAAATGGAAACACTCACCATCTCCTCTTTGATCTTTTAGCCTTCTGATACTTCTGATAACCAATCCCCTATAGTAAATTCCTCCTATATGAAACATCTACTAAGGTTTCTGTTTTTCTTCTTGAATATAGACCAATCTATCAATTCCCCCAAACACACGCATACACACACACACACACTCACACTCAGCATCTTGTATTTTGAACCAAAGAGTATCAGTAAATGGTTGATGGATATAGGAAATAGAAAAACTACAACTGCAGAGTAATATCAAAGTGTATTTTCTCACCTGTCATATTTAAAGCTTGTTAATTGACAAATATTTTGCCCAAGTCTTCTTTATGACTTCACTTAATAATCTGGTTTAGAAATCTTTCTGTAGCAGCCCAGCCATGTCATTTTACAGCTGCATCGTTTCAGCAACTGGTCTTACTGTAATTTAGTTAAACAGAACACGAAGGATCTTTTTAAGTGCACTAAAGATACATATACTTCTTGTGGAATTTTTTTTTTTTAGCTGAGGTGTCAGTGGAATAAATACCTAGCTGTGAGATTCCTAGATTTCCTAGATTTAAGGAGCTGTACAATTGAAATTCCAATAAGTAATAACTGTTTATTTTGTTTCTAATAAGTTCTAATAAGTAATACTGTTTATTTTGTTTCATCTTAAAGGGTTACCACTAGAGAGTGCCACATGATGAAGGAAGACTTGGGGAATTATGTCTTCTATGATCTACCTGGCCTAAGAGAGTAGCCATTAAGGCCATCTTCACCCCTGTTTTCCCTTCACTGGGGAGTCGTTCACATTTCTGGAAAGAATGAGATAAAACCCAACAAGCGAACCACTCAAGCTAAGCAGCACAGCCAACAATAGCTCTGGGAAATGGGACGCCTCTCAGGAGCAACAAATCATGGAATTTACCTGTAGGCAAATCAGCTAGCAAATCAGAAGAGGCTCTCCTCAGCATCTCAACAAAACTCTGCCATCTGTGCAAAAAAAGAAAACATAATATCGAAGATCAATATCATGGCCCTAAAAGAACGTGCAGTGAAGCTCTAGGTTTATACTGGTAGTGATACTGAAGACGTTTTTTGATATCTATGCCATTTAGGGTTCAATGCAGGAAATGAAAACTACCTTATATCTCTTTATTAGAAAGGGCTTTACTATAGAGAATTGGGTTCCTAGGAAGTCATTGCAAGGCTATTAGAATGGCAGCGTGGGTATGCTGCTACGCTCAGGGTCCGGCTGCAACAGGTGCGGTCCAGAGGTAGAGAAGGAACTCAGGAAAATCTGGCTGGGGTCTCAGCTGCCCGATGTTCTGAAGGGAAGACGACACAGTACAAGGTACTTTCCATGGGAAAAACTCGTGCTTACCGGTTTCTGAAGTTGCTAGTGATGTAGGAAAATAAATAAATAAATACACACATACACTTGGTCTGTGCCGTGGCCTCCCACCCCTCCTCCTGCCTGTCTAAGCTCATGCCACAGCTTCTCACTGATAGAACTTAAATCAGTTCTAGAACTTAGTGTCAAGGGGATTTCAGATTTTTTTTTTTTTAGCCTTCCCAAGTATGGGAAATATTGCAACACAGAAAAGAACATAAACGGGGATAGATAGAGGTGCTGAGTGCTGGCAAATGTCGTGAATTGCCCAAGCTGAAATCTCATCGGCGATATATCTGCAAGTGACAACTATGTAGTCACTGAAAGCTTGAAAGTGCTTTAAAAAAGCTTTGGTAGTGAACTTCACTTATATTTGCCTGCCCAGCATCTACCCTCTATTCAGATATAAGTAGACCCTGTCTGGGGTGATGGCTGGTGGTCTCCTTTTAGATACAGTGTGAAAGGCCCACGCCTGCTCTAGCCAATGCCCTGGGCCTGGTGTAATTAAGCTCTCTCCCTCCTCCTTCCCCCCGCTCCCCCTCTCGTTCTTCTACTCTGTGTCTCTATCTCTGTCATAATCTTTAGTTCTGGTAGTTTTCAAAGTTTTGTTTTCTATAAATTTCGGAAGTTACTTCATACTCTTTCAAAATACAATAGAACCTCTGTAAGTTGAGCACCCAAGGTACAAGAACAAACTGGCCAACGTACAGAGATGAGCAGCGTGAGGAACTCGACCTCCTGCACTGACATGTGCATGTGGTGCATGTCCAGTCTGTGACAATTAGGTCGACGTAAGGAGTGGCCATAGTAGGAAGGTGGCAGCTGTGGGGGTTCTATTGTATTTCCTTTTGCAAAGGGCAGTTTCCGTTTCCAGCAACCAAACTGCAAGTGATATATATTTTTATCTTTGGCTTGCCCATCAGAAGAAGTCACACAAAAATAAAGAGCAATGTGAAATAGTATGTCCTGGATTTCTTAGAAGAGCTCTAATGTGATAGGATTTTATTCTCCTTAAATAAAGATGATGGGTTAAATATGGAACTAGTTTGTTTTGCTTATACTGGATACAATTTTTGCTATATATGATGTCACAAGTTAGACAAGCTCTTTGATCAGGGTATGTGGCCTCCTGAGCCTCCTGCCACTGTGGGCCAGGTGAAAAGATGAGGAACGGATGTGCAGGACTGCAAGACAGATGATATCAGATGCAGCAGGTCTAGGAAGGAAGAGCAGGTTGGAGAAGTGGCACTCTTGAGAAATATTAATAGCTACATAAACTTCGACTGAAGCATTTCTTGTCCTCTACCCTTGCTGAAATTTCTTTCCAGACCCTCTTAGGAAGACCAGGCTTATTCCTACAGCAACTCCTGACCTTTTGAGTAAACAAAACAAAACAAAACAAAACAAAATGCAAAAACAAAAACCCTAGATCAGGGAACATGTATTCAGGATAACTTGCACCTATGTCTCCCAGGTTGCAGTCCTCGAATTTGGTCCAAATGATCTCCCTACTTCTATTGGAAAGAAAAATAATTAACCGAGACCCATTAATATTTGCACATTACATTGCACTTTTGTTTTTTAGAGGTGTTAGGAGTTACCAGGTAGTGATCTTTCAGATGTTAAATATGAGATAAACACAGGCCTCCGGGTAACATGGCACCAGAAACTCTCCTGCCTCCTCTGGATTACATGCAGATAGCAGGGGAGGGAGACCATTGGAAAATTTTCTAAGCATTGAACTTGGACATTGCCTGATTAGAATGATGTTTAGGACTTCTCTAACCAGTAAAATTCTTAAGATTCTTCTCACCAAATGTTTGCTTTTTCCCATATTCTTTACATGATCCTAGCACCTTCAGGGTACGATTCACAGTTAAATGTGGGAACGGGTTCTAGATGCCATAGTAGGCAGCTCATTCTAATAACTAAAGTAGGTACCAACCTCCAAAATGAAGCCAGAAAGATCAGGACTGGAGGACAGATCCCACGAGCCTGACCCTAGACAGGCACTCCTGAGTTCACAGTCCACATTCGACTGGATTTACCAAGTTAAAAAAGTCAAGTTTCATGAATATTTGGAAGACATTTTGTGTACTATCTCATTTAATTGAGATAATCATCTTGCGGGGGTGTGTAAATGACTTGCCCGAGGGCACATGAGTCAACAGGACCGCCAGGATTTATACCCTGGCTGTCTGACTCCAGAGTTACATGAACGTAATAGAACTTGGCTTCGATTCGATCACATTTCTTTTGTCCTTTGAAATTCCATGGACACGGCTCCAGCGTCTTCTGGCTTTTATTATTATAGACATCTGATGTCAATCTGATTTTTGTTCATTTGTAATTAATTTTCCCCTTTATTAGCTTTGGTTTAGTTTTATTTATTTATTTTTGGGCCTGGCTCCTTGAATAATTTTACCTTTACAATACAAAA